TATGTATAAAATGTAGTAACACCAGATTTCAGGTTGTTTGTTTGCTTTAGAGAAAAGTCCATTGAGCTATCTGTTGTGTCCACCTTGGGGAATCGAACTCTGGATTTTAGCACTGTAAGTCAGTTAACTTAAAGCTGTTCTACCAGGGGACCCAGATTTCAAGACCAATGTTAATTTTTTTGCTACAGCCAGATACGGTTCTTTCTTTTCTAAAAAACATAAGGAAACAACTACTGTGACCTTATTACCCATGACAATACCTTGGGTTTTTTGATAAACATCAATTCCAAAACATAAATACCTTTTCCGTGGTCAGACTAGGATAAGTTAGTTAATAAGATTGCTTCAGCAACATAGAGGATGACCTCATTTAAGATACTTAGTGAAAACTGCATTATCCATGCACACAAATGTTGGGGTGGGGGTGGAGGTACATTTCAGTAGGTAGGTCCCCAAACCAGGCTCAGATCACCCTTGGCACAGCACAGTTTCACAGTAATAGGAACAACAGTTGGCCAGTAGCTAGCACAGGTTCCAGAATATTCATTAAATGGAATTTTAAGAACCTGAGTGGCTGGAGTAAAAAACATTTCAGAGAATTTCAATCTTTTTTTTTTCAGTAGGTAGATCAATATAAACAAACCCAACCACTGCTAAATAAAGGTTTTTCAGTCAATTTTGATTATTAATGACACTGACATGTTCAATAATTAAGTGATAGTGAAACTGCTATATATTTAATATTTTCCCTAATGCCAATCTCATGCTTTTTCACACAATTTTTTAAGATACCTATACATCTTACTATTAGGTCAGACTTTGCACCAATAACTCCATATGTCATATCCAAACGTTTTTTTTTTAATTTTGGAAGAATCTTCTACCTTTAAAATACAATCTTAATATTATGTAAAGATGTTTTGGATTTTTTGCACGTAGTATTTTGTGAAGTGAATGTTGATGTATATAACTACTTTCAGTTGAGGGTTGGTTGGTAAAAAAAGTTGATATGTATTAGGTCGTCAAGAAATTAATGTCACGTTTTTGAACACTTTCATTAACTACCTCTAAATAATGTACATCATATGTAATAGTTAAATGAACTGCCTAAACATCACGTTAGTGTAGTCTATATAATGTGTAAAGTGTAGCATACTCTAATCCCTTATAGTGATGGCACACGACGAGACACACATTCAGCATGTAATGCTGTTTGAATACAAGAAGGGAAACAACGCCTCTGTAGCCACAAAGAATATGGGAAAACTCCTTAAATAAGGTGTTTGGGTGCATCACGAACTCTCCGATGATCATTGTTTCCAACATGTGAACATTGCTTCATCTCTTCTGGCAAGTAATGCACATGAATCATTTTTGAACAGAATTGTCACCGGTGATGAAAAATGGATTCTTTATGCAAATATTATACTCCAAAAGCAATGGCTTAGTCCTAGACAAAAACCACTTTAGACCACAAAACCTGGACTTCATCTGCAGAAAGTGATACTTTGCATTTGGTGGGACATCAAAGGAGTAATTCATTTCGAACTCCTCAATCCACAGAGAATTGTCAATGCAGAGATCTATAGTCAGCAATTGGAATGTTTAAATCAAGCCCTTCATCAGAAATGCCCTTCACTCATTAATCGTAAAAGTGTTTTTTTCTCCACGACAATGCACGTCCACATGTAGCATATTTGATGCAACACAAGATTATGGAGTTGGGTTGGAAAGTTCTCCCCCACTCACCATATTCTTCAGATATGGCACCATCAGATTACCATCTTTTTCATTTGCTGCAACACCATCTTAACGGGAAAATGTATGCAAATGTGGAAGGTGTGAAAGAAGACATCGACATGTTTTTTGCTTCAAGGCCAAGTGATTTCTTTAATCAGGGCATTAACAACCTGATTGTAAGAAGGAAAAGTATCATCAATAAGAATGGAGACTATTTCATTTAATAAATGTTTTGTTTTGATATATAAGTTGTTTGGGTTTTTCATCTTTAAAAAAACGACATTAATTTCTTGATGACCTAATATTTATGAGTAAGTGATTTAAAGATGCATAACAAACATGTATATAATGCCATTTTCATGCTTTTTCACATCTATACATCTATCTTATGAATTATATATAAATAATAAAGCACTTTAAAAATTAAAAAAGTTTTGTAAGCCTAAGTTAACACATTACAATGTTTAAAATTTTACAATTTTCTAAAACAGGGGAGCTCAGTAATACCTAAATAAATTAAAAGGTTAGATAATTTATTATGATCTCCACTGGTGAGATAAAATGAGCACTCTTACTGATATGGGCAAGTAGGATTGCCTAACAATGAGGATGTTTTGATAAAATTGTGGTATTTGAAAATTCTTTTGTCTTACTCAGAATTGACATAACTGCCAGTTAAATCCTGCAGACATAGAATCATAAATGGAAGCCAGTCAGCTGTAGAGCTACTGAGAGTTGTCTCTGCAGAATTTAAAGTTTGCCTGTTGGACATCAGTGTACTTGAATACCGCAATATATTCCCCTTTGAAGAACTAAATTTAGCAATATATATTTGTCTTAAAGGTTATCAATACATCCATTCAAATCCAAGTACTTTCACAATGTACGTAAGATATATCTTTATGGTCTGTTGTGTACAGCAAGTTTTAAATCAAAGAGCAAATTATTTATTTATGAAATAGTGACAAACAGAAAAATGAAAGTCACAAGGGAATATACAAAAAAAATCTCTCTCTCTCTCTCATATATCATATTACTCTTGGAGGAAATGCTAAGTCATAATGTTTACATGGATATAATAAGCCTCAAGACAGGATGTAAACAAATCTAACCACTAAAGGAGCAGCAGCAATATTTCATTAATTCAACATACAAAACCTAACAGTTAGTGATATATGTAATATAGTAATGAAAACATTATCTGTACTATCTATAACATAGTTTTAACACAGTGTTTATTGTTGGCAAGTAGCAAATACATGATGCTTTAAAATACAAAACAATATGTTAGATGATGAAACCGTTCATCATTCACTGAGTAATATTAAATTCTAACAGAGTGCAAGGTGGTATTTCCTGATAACAAGTAGAGTCGGTAGTTTTGTTACTTACTCATCTCTACTGTACAGTTCTTGTCATTGTGGGTCTTCCAGTGTCTCTTACAATGCCAAGATGATGTAAATTGTTTATTACAGATACAACAAATGTGTGGTTTGTTCTCAGTATGGATGTTTAGATGCCTACTTAAGGCATACTTTACACGAAATTTTTTCCCACAGTTATCACACCGGTATGGCCTATCTCCACTATGAACAGACTGGTGTCTTTTTAGGTATGACTTCTGAGTGTATTCTTTGCCACAAACATCACAACAATATGGTTTTTCACCGGTATGGTTCCAATGATGTTTTTTTAAGTTTGAAGAAAAAATAAAATGTTTACCACACACATTACAAATGTATGGTTTCTCCCCACTATGAATTTTCTGATGTTGTCTTAAGTTTGAAGCTAATAGAAATTCCTTACCACAAACATCACAACTGTGTAACTTCTTCCCAGTATGGACTCTCTGGTGCTCTTTCAAGTAGTTTGAGATTGCAAATAGTTTGCCACATATATCACAATTGTATGGTTTCTTTTCAGTGTGGATTTTTTGATGTCTTTTAAAGTTTGAAGAAATTGAAAACTCTTTACCACATACATCACAGTTGTAAGGTTTTTCTCCTGAGTGGATCCTCTGATGTTTTTTTAAGTCTCCTTTAGTTGTGAAGTTTTTGCCACAGTCATCACAGATAAATGGTCTAGCCCCACTATGAATAGCTTCATGAGTTTTTAAATGACAATTCTTTTTAAATTCTTTGCCACATGTATTACAAATGTATTTCTTTCCAGAAGGGATTCTCTTAGTTTCTTTCAAACACCCTGGTAATGAAATATCTTCACCGGGTTTCTCCCACTGTTTTGTTGTTAAGACAACTTCTTTCCCAAGCTGTTTATCTCTATGGTGACGGTGTTGGTGACTCTTTAGTTGAAAAGCCTGAGAGAAGTTTTTGTCACACACATCACAATTATATGTTTTTTCTCCAGTATGTACCTTCAGGTGTTCTTTCAAGTATTTGATCAATGCAAATCTCTTATTGCAAATATCACAAATGTATGGTTTCTCACCGCTATGAATAATCTGATGTCTTTTAAAGTTTGAGGCTAAATTAAATTTCTTTCCACATAAATCACAAATTATTGGCTTATGAAGGCCTGATTTTTTTCTGAGTGTCTTGTGACAAGTATTACTCTCATACTTTTCTTCTTCATTGTGGATGCTCTGATATTTCTCTAAATCACAATTAGTTGAAAATGTTTTGACACTGAAATTGTGTTTTAAGGATTCATTCACTGTTCGTGACTTCTTAAGAATTCTACAGCTTCTTGAATTTTGCTTCTCACGACCATCAGGATAATCATGCATGATTTCTTTACGTTGTGAAGAGAACTTATCACAATCAACTTTTGTTAGGGTTTCCAAATCTACAATTATAAGATATACAAATGAATATACACTTTAAACACTCTTTGGTTAAGACATCATACAAATCACATCTAAAACAATCTCATAAACTATTATCTGATGAGGATAAAAAAACATCCATCCTGTAAAATGTCCCTCACTAAAGTCTAAAACAGGCATTCTGTAAAATGCACCCCCATCAAAGTCTACAAACAGGCATCTAGTAAAATATATCTCATCAAAGATAATTTAAAAACAGACATCCCATAAAATGTCCCTTATCAAAGATAAGTCAAAAACATTCTTCATGAAAGATAAGTCAAACAACAAACATCTAGTGAAATGTCTCTCAAAAATAAGTTAAAAGCAGTCATCAAGTAAAATATCCTTAATCAAAGAAAAGTGAAAAAAAAAAAAGCAGTCATTTAGCAAAAGTCTTCAATCAAAGATAAGTGAAAATTTCACATACAATGTCCACCTAGTACATGTATTTTCTTAAACTGTAAAATCCTTTTTAATTTCTTTACTTGGAAAGCATAGACAAATAAATATCATATACCCAGGCTTTTAGTATACATTTTCATCAAAACATGGTCCCAAGAGTTCAACCATGTAAGCTTTTTTCTATTAGTTTATTTACAGGCCTTTGGTATACATCTATCAAAACATTTCAACAACATCAGCTTGTTTTCTATTAATCTATTAAGAGGCCTTTGATATACATCTATCAAAATGTCATCTCAACCTTTCAACCATGTCAGCGTGTTTCCTGTCAAGTTATTCACAAACCTTTTATTAGAAGTTAACAAATTCCACATAATATTCAACTTGGTCTACAAACAGTTTTAAACAAAGAAGTTCAACATGTCCGTTTCCTACAGAAATTACTAGTACTAACAGCTACACCTATACGCATTCGCTTAGTTATTGTTTTTTGTGATATTACTCTTCAAGGCTTTAGTTCTTCATGTACTGGCTATGCTACCCACTCATAAGAAATTAAATTTTAGCAAATTTCTGTACTTTTTGGAGAATCTGCTACAGCTATTCTAACTTGAGTATTTTTACACATACCTCACTATCACCATTTCACTGTCACAGTGAGAAGCACAAGCAAGAGAAAGAAGCAAACAGTAAAAATAAAAACTGATCATTCTGCAATTAACCAAAAGCATGTATTTGAAAATGAAATTCACAAGGCTCCAAAATTTATTAAAATTAATACTAGGCTAACTAGAGTAGTTTATAAGCTCAAATATAAGTTTCTGTAGATGTAAAACTACTAAGGTAACAAGAAATGTTTAAAATGTAGGTAATAAAACTGCTTAACAGCATTATTACATATTATAGTTGTTGAAAAGATAGTAAAGTAACTAATGAAAGTTGAAATTCTAAACAGGGTAAAAGTGAAGTTAGAAATAAGAGTTTTATTTTACCAATAACTAAAATAATTCATACATGGTATCCAGCGGTTTAGTTAGCTAGTAGAATGGTCTGGTGGCAACATTGACCAGACAACAAGTCAAGGAAATAAATACACTTAACCACTGGGCAGGTGCTCAACAGTATCCTTTACAAACCATGCAGAAAGTCTTGAGGTGAGATTCAACAAGCATTCTTCCATGTCTTTTCAGGCCAAAAGAAATTATGACCAGAAAGTCCAGTAGTCATAATGATATTCCTTTATCAACCAGTAGTAACCTAGTTAACCAAGGGAAATTAATACTTTAAGTTGAGGCCTAACACAGGTTTAAGATTTTCCGAGGCTTCTAACCTTTATAAGAAGCAGATAATGTGCCTTAAAAGTGCACCCAACTGAAAAGTTTTCAATAGTAGACCAGGAGAGACTTGTAGAGTTAACTTCTCATACTTCCTTCCCACTCAGCCTCCCAGTTTTATTGAGAAGGCATGCCCTACCCAGGACTTGAAAGTATTGTATGTAACCCTTTGCTATGGGTCTTCCTATGGCCAGGGGTCAAAGGTCATGTCATCACATTTGTAGACTTACATTTAAATTTGATTGAACTATTATTTGATGAATATATGTCAATATGTTTGGTACCAAGTTTTAGATTATAATTCAAATCTTAGTATTATACATTAGTTAATTTTAGTATTATGTATAAGTTAATTTCTTAACTTAAAAGTTAATATTAAAACAAAATTCCTAAACATCAATTTTTGTGTGTCACTTGGTATACTGAATGCAACTTTGGTTCAAATTATGTTTGTGATGTCCAAATTTCAAGTCTATAATTTCTTACAAGTTAGAAACTCAAATCATCAATATTGATAAGCTAGAATATAAAATAAGAATCTCCTATCTTTACTGTTTGCTGAGATATCACTATATTTAGCAATTGAAACAAAGTGGGCCTCATCCACTTCTTCCTTTTTTGGAAATACTTCCATATGTACACTCACTTCACTCTGTCATGGCTTTATAACCAATCAAAAGCTCAGAATTTTCTCCACATGGTTTTCTCAGGCTCTTGAAAGTGGAAATTCCCAAAATTATTTCTTTTTTGTCAAATCTCAGAAGAAGGGGTAAATGAAAATATTATTAAAAATGTCATTTTTTTCAGACCCAAATATAGCTTAGTTACTATGCCTGATAAATTATAGTGGATTTCTATGATATTGATATAGTAATTTATGATTTTTTTAATTTCGAAATGCATATATAAAACCTAAAAAAATTATTTTGTTTTACATCCTCCATGTGCAAAATTTTTAAAGGTTTAGCAACCTACATCAAGCAGCAACCAAGTACAAATGTCATAACTAGAAGAGATAATTGTTTGCTTTACTTCCTTATTTAATGTTCTATGTTTTAAGAAAAATAAGTTTAAGAACATATTTCTAAATAGCAATAATCTATATACATATATATATAATGTATAAAAATTGAAATGTGTCTGTACTTTACAAAGTACTAGTCTACTAAAACACAGCCAAAAGAGGTTACTTTGTAAAGACCAAAGGTCAATTTTATGTTGTTGGATATGGTAACATGAGTGTACATGTGCCACATCATTGTAACTTCTGTATTGTTAGCCACGCATGGCTGAAAGGTCAATATAATAAAAATAATAGATGAATAATGTTACGAGGTTTAAGCTACTTAGTGTAAAAATTTATGTTTTCGTGTTATAATTTGTGTTCATTCTAGAATGAAAGAGGCATAATTTATATTTATTTCATAATTTTTTATGGTGGTTATGAGATCGATCAAATCTACCAGATCCATAAAGAGATTCATTACTGATAAATAACAGATGAAAT